ATAGTTTCAATAATCTACAGAAATACTTTTATTTAGATGCAGTGATGGGATACAGCAGTTTAATTTTCAGAAGTACTCTTCTTCTGTTGATTTAAAATACTATATTGTTCATCAAACACATATTTTTCCCCCAACTATAACACTTAATGAATTGAAGTAACTGCACCTTTCCCAATGCTTAAATAAGATTTAATAATAATTTAGTAATAATTAATAATGATTAATAAGATAAAACTGGCTAAAAATGGGAGAGATTGAAATGTTAATTTGTCTTTCACGCTGTAGCATTTTTGGTTTAAAAAGCAACAAAGCAAAACAAAATTATATTTTACTTTCTTCTTTTTAAAAATTATTCACCTTTATTTTTTGTTTTGGCACCTCATGGGTGCATGAGCATGCTCGTGCACCTGCACATCCAGGGGTGTATGGAACTGTGTGTGTGTGGAAAGGCACGTGATGTTGCACAAATGTGATGCATGATAAATCTGAGCAGATGTGTCTCTGATGGACTGAAGATCAAAATCTTTAATATTAGGACAAAGAAGGAATTCAGTGAGACAAGATATATGCCATTCCCTTCCTTTTGAGAAGCTAAGGTTGGCAGTAGGGGTTCGAAAAGAATGGGACCAAAGTGTGTCATAAGAACTCAAGCCTATTGATTTATAATAAATCTGGAAGATACCTGAATGAAATGCTGTACTGTACAACAAGGAAAAATGCTTGCTTCACATTTCTCTGCCCATCAGCATGCTACTTATGAGTGTTGTGCTTCCACTGAGGCAATATTCATGCATATAAACATGCTCCATGCCATCTAGAGGGATATGTTTTCCACATTTTCTTCCCAGTTACAGAAGGAAAATGCATTCAAGGGGTGTGCCATTTCAGCCAAAAATGCACCTTTTGGTTGTTAAAATAAAGATAAATATGTTGCCACAATGGGAGACCAAAGACTCTAGAGTAGATTTTGTGTCTTGCTCTCCAACCATCTGGTGTGATGCCCCCTCTAAGTTCTCCTCTCTTATGCTCCAGAAACATAAGTTAGGATGGAGAGACAGGTAAGTAAACATTACTCACTGAGCAAGTGATACCATGTCTATCAATGTCCTTCTCCTTCTCAGTTGATTAAGCAAACTTATATCTTCCAACCTCTTCTCACGAGTTATGTTTTCTATGCTTTTCTGATGTCTGAGTGTCTCCTCCGTCATGCTGGTTAGCATATCTGTCCTGTGCTTTTGCCCTACACTGGGTGCAAACCTCCAGGCAGATGTCTCCATCTCCAGGGAATGAGTTTTAATGGCTTTGCACATGACATTCCAGGGTCAAATGCAATCTAACAATCATACTGCTGACTTCAGTTAGTTTGTGGTTCACTGCAACTGCTAAGTCCTCTGTTAAAATATTTCTGTCCATCCAATTATGCTCCATCTTTTATTTGATTATTTGCTTCCTTCCACAGATCATTTGGAAATCAATTACTACCATTGCAACTGAGCCCTTTTTTTTTCACTTAGAAACTGCTCCCCAAGCACTCCTTCCCAGAACTATATCAACCTTTGTACCATCTACAAATTGTATACAATCACTCTAATACTCCCATTAGGTCATTACATGAAATAGTGCATAGTGTCTAGGATTTAGGATAGCCTTCAAGAATCCCATCTGGCATGTCCTCCTCCTAGAATGACAGTAAACTTCTCAAAATGTGATTACTGATTTTCAGTGTTGGTCTTACACTAATTTCCCCATGTCCATATTTTCTTCAGGTACTTCTATGTCATCTGGGACTATGCCAAAAGTTCTCTTAGAGTCAACCTGTATCATTGCTGCTGCTTCTTTTTTACCCACTGAACCAGTTATCCTGTCAATGAAATACATTAGTTAGGTTTGACATAAATTTGTTCTTGACAGGTCCATGGTGGTTGTTTCTTGTTGGTTTATTATCCTCCAGGTGCTTACCAATACTTTCATAATTTCAGCATCTTTGGATATCAATGTTAGGCTGTCTCTTGTACAATCCCTCCAACTTTGTCCCTGTTTCCACCTTCAACTCTCCTTTACGGGGAAGAGCTGACATTTGTCCCTCTTGTTTTTCCACATCTTCCTACATCCTCCACGTATCCCCCAAAATACAATTAATACTTCAGTGATTGTTTTGGTCACAAAAAAAGTGAGTTTCCAACTGGAACAGATATTTTAAAGATACATTCCTGCTAAAATGGAACCTTTTGTAAGATGCCAAAAAATGCTTCTCCATAAAAATTAGGAGACAAAACTTTCAACAATCAGAACATGTCTATAAAGATGTAGGGCTAATAATACTGGTGTAAATGTTAAAGTCTCATTAATGTCTACCTGTCTACTAAACGATGAAACATAAACCTTTCCTTTAGCCAGGTAAAATATTGTCAATGAAATAAGGATTCTCATCTTGTTCTATAAACAACATGCAAAGGTAACATGCAGTTCATGTCTACCAAACTCCTCAGAGATAGAAACATGGCGAACAGCAGCAACCAGTATGTTTTGCTCCAGAGTCAATTGTTGTCCAAAAATTTAGCCTTAATCTCTTGCTGTGTGCAGGTAGAATATCCAATTCCTTTAGATTTTACATGGAATTCAAAAAAGGCACTAGCCATTCTGATTCAGCATTAAATAAGACTCAATTTCTCCTTGGCTGGGGGTATCTGATATCACAGTGCATTCTTTCTATCTACCACAGAATTGCCAAGTCATTTCAAGTTCAGCAGAATGTGCTGCATCACGCCATTTATTTCAGCTTATTACTCCTTTAGAAGAACTAAATGTATTATCTGTGAGGGGGGAGCTGAGAAAAATGCAAGAAAAATTATTCTGTTTCATCTTATCCCACCCAAGCTCAGTAATTCAATAGCTTAAAGAAAACATTTATTAAGAAAGAGCAGGAGATTGTACCCATTACTATGGCAGCTATACACTTTAGGGCAGCACTGACAGACTGCAGCTGGGGAACAAAAGTATTCAAATAAGGTAGAAAGCATTAATTCAGAGTATAGAGTTATTCCTCTTGACTGGGCAAAAGTTTCTATAATGCTCAGCTTGCTCATTTTTGACATAATATATCCAATTCATTGGGTTTACAAGGGCATTATCTACTCTGCAGTAACATCCCCTTGTTCTGCTGCCCTCTAGGCAATTGGAAATCACAAAAATAAATGACAGAACCCCCCCTGATTATTAGCTACAGTAAAACAATTACAGGCCTTGTGGTTTTAATCACGTTAGCTGTCATCACAGCAAATAACCATGTTTGGTATTTGGGAGAAGATAACAGACTTTTTTGTTTCTTCTTTTCTAATAAAAGTGCTCTAAAGTTGTTCTTGAGCTGTACAGAGCATTCTGTTGATATGAACTTCCACACTGTATATATTTAGAAGAAAGGGCTTGTAATTGTTAAATCAACGTCCTCATTAAAGCTCTTAGAGACTTGGTGGCTCAAACTAAGCAAACAAGCAGAGAAATTTTAAGTGGACTTTGATTCTAAAGTGGCTTGAAGGAACTAAGAACCATCTAATGGAAAGCCTGAATTCAACTTCCTTTAAACTTTGGAATAATTTTTACCCCACGAATCCAGAAATTAGGATGATACTACTGAACTTATGGGATGCTATCCATTTCCAGCAGCAGAATGAGCTGGTGTGCTGAATTTAGCATTTGCTACTGCAGGGAGAAACTGGCTGGGAGAAACTGGCTGGAATGCCTATGTTCTTATACGAACACAACTAGCAGAAATAAATACCATGGGAATGCTATGAACAACCTTGTCTGCCAATTCTCCTTTGAATAAACATTCTAATTACATAAAAACTTTATTTAAAGCTATCTGAAACCTCTGGAATAGATTGCAACACAAATAAAAGTAACCATAAGTTATTTGCAGTGAAAACACAGCCAGCAGAGCTTTTAACGTTGATTACGTCCAGCTAGAAATTTTACCCTGAGTTTGAATGATTTTCATTATAATATGAATCATGGAGTATTTAGTATAAAATTAGCACAATTGCAAACAGAGCTGTCAAAGTCTGTTTCTCTGATGTACAAGAGGATGAGCTTCCACTAATGAGGCCTGATTTTCTCAGGGCAATAATAACAGTAAAACCTAAAAGAATGAATGAAGATACTGTTACTAGTCTAACACAGATTGAAGACCTTGGCATTTAGCAGAAAGGTACCTTGATCTCTATAATTCTTACTGAATTATAGCTAATGCTCATGGATTAATAAAAAAAAAAGAAAGAAAAAAAAGAAAATATATTGCGCTCCACAGTAAAAAAAAATACGGAAACTGTTCTTATCCAACTGCATACTTCTTTTATGCAGAATGAAATAGGATCTTCCTTTAGGTCACTGAGATGCCAGGGAATACTGGAAAAACCACAGACACGGGACCAAATCCAATGCTCACTATGTAAATGGGAAGTTTTCATTTGCTTCAGCAAGACTTAGATCTGCCTTTCCTGTAGTCATTTTGAAAAGCAACACAAAGCGGCCTGGGGAGGGTTATTGGCAAGCAGCAGTAACTGCAGAACAGTAACCACCAGCAGAGAAAGCTGTGGAAGAGGAGGCTGGCTGTGAGACCTGGAGTCATTTTCAGGCTTTTGTGCAAGCCTCTTTTGTTCCTTGATCAAGAACACAACAGGCAAGTCATACATACACTGATGATGAAACCATAAAGGTGTAGTTTTTTCAGTTTTCAAAAGAAATGTTTCCAGCTTCCACTAGACACATTAATATTAATTCTACGTGAAAGGGTAAAATGAAAGACTTGTGCTGCGCAGAAGCAAGAGAAGTTGGCAAAGCCCACAGCCAGCAGGAAGTCTATTCAAAAGACTAATTAGAGCCACAGAAACCCTCTAGCCCATCCTTAAAGAATATCTTGAGTAGTTTAGCAGAATCACTAATGAATTAGTGTGTGAGCTACAGAACTACTGCGATTAGTAGGTTAGTGCTCTCATACTGACCGTGAATTGTTGTGAAGCTGATTTACATACAGCTTTATAAGAGAATGCTCATCAGCCACAGGACTGGCTGCATTTATACCCCCAAGTAACCTGAATGATTCAAACAATGAAACCTTGTTAATAAATCAATAAGTATACACAGAGAGCAGGGTGTTTAGAGTGGGTTTGTAACAATAAATGCCATTTATATAGAAAGAATACTGTCTTGACTATTTGTAGGCTGCTTTTTCTTTCCAATAAAAACATGCAAATTAAATTTATAAGAGGTGAAAATAAAAATGCTGAGCATAAGCTGTCAAACACCTAAAATCCTGTTAGGTCAATAAAACAAAAGTTACAAAACTTTTAATATACAAGCAATGTAATTATTTTACATATCAGGGCACAATTAACTCTAAAAGAGCCAGAATGACTGTTGCACCATGGAAACTTTTAACTGTATAAGGATGTCACACTATCCACCTATAAGGAAGTCTGGGTACTTATGATTGAGGGGGTTGGTTATAATCTCCTGCCTTCAGGGGATTCTCATCAAGAAGTTTTTCCTAGCAGAAAAGGAATTCTAATAGCTCAGGAAGCATGTACATCTAATCCTAATAGTTAAAGACAGTCATTTACTGAAGACAAAAGTAAAATAATCTGACATTTTTTACATGTAGAAAAAAACAAGCAGCACAGTAGACAGTGCTATGATTATGACTGCAGGTAACCGCAGTTTGAACAAGCACAGGGACTTCTTGGGGACAAACAGAAGCAATGACTACACTCTTGAAGATCACTGCTCTTAATGACCTCTCCTGGAGAGGCCACAAATATGTGCCTTGCACATAAAAGCCCATATAAGACAACAACAAAAATGAATTTGCATTGGCAGTCTCACTATATAGGCAGTAGATCCTGGCCTTGGAGGCTGCTTTGGGACTGGCTTTCAAAAAGGATCTCAGTCACACCCAGCAGCTACTTGCATTAAGTTAACACTGAGAGTTTTTACAGCTCCTGGTAACAAAATTTGTAAATTGAAGTAGTAATAAACCATAAATTGAGTAGTGTACACTGCAGATTTATTTTGGTCTTGATGTTAAAATATGCAGCTATGCATACCCAGAGATTGCGTTTAGTCATTTGGGAATGCTGAAGCACTGACACATACAGCAGGAACTGAGCAATAAAATGCACCCAGGGAAGACACATTGCTTATCTTCCCCAGTGCAGCAGGAAGTTATTTTCCTGCCACCTTGTGCACCGGTAGGTTTACATACGGGTCAGACAGCTAGCAGATGCTACATATATATTTTGGCTGTATGAGCCAAAATACTGAGTCAAGATGTACACAGACAGCTGCAATCACCTACTCTCTGGGATTAATGCTTCTGACAATTCTTTCCTGATTTGTTTACTGAAGGGTCGATCTCCATATTCCAAGACTACTCCTTCTCTCTTGTAACCTTTAATGAATATCAGAATGGTTTAACAGGAGTAACGATGTCTTGCTATAGCTTCCAAGTATGAACAGATTTTCTCCTTGTTCATATCCTATCTTGCAGTATGATGCAGGCATTCCCAGTAGGCAAGGGCATGTCCCAGTGCCTATTCCCATAGTGTTGCTACAAAATGGCTTCTTACCAAGAGCCTATTTTCAGTCCTTATAGCAGGATGCTTAGGGTGCATATGAGCACATTTTAGTGCATCATAATAGTTCAAATGAGAGGTAAAATTCAGTGCTCTGCGGTGAGAAGCTCGGGACGCCTTAACTCCAGCCCTCCATCCAGATGTCTGGGTATCAGTCCAAAATAACCAGGGCATTTCTCAGCTCATGTCTCTTAATTTTACTTTGTGAGTGGTTTTTTTGGTTTTGTTTCGTTTTTCCTGTGAGGGAATTGAAAATCGAAACCTCCACCACTATGATATAATTGTTTAACATAAACAAGGACAAGAACTCACCTTCTGTTTGCAAAGGGACTTCCCGAGGGAACAGAGTGGGAGAAGAGTGTGTCGTTCATGCTGGTTACAGGTCGGGGGGGCCTAGAAGGCAAAATATCCAGTTGCATTAATTTTGCACTAAAAACCCCTCCATCAGCAACAATTTTAATGGAGAACAGAATGAGCTTCTTGTTTAAAGTAACATTCTGGCATCTGCTTTATGTAGAAACAGTTCAAAATTATAGATGCTATATTTTTAAGCAGAAGTTAATAAAAACACACTGATACTTAGGCCTGGAGGGAAATAATGCTTTCATGTTTTTGTGTTCTGAGGTGAGTTTTAACCAACTTGCTTGACCTTTTTTCCCCTGCTTTGGCAGAATAACCACTACGCCACTGCTCCTTTCCAAAGACAAGGTGCAGTCACTGGTTTCCACCAGCCAGGATGAGCACTGGTGATCAGTTTGCTGTGGCAGCATGGAGGTCTGCAGGTGGTAAGTGCCAATAAATGACATATCTTTTCATTAGGCTATCCCTGGTGCTAAGCTCCACGCTACCACATCCACCTAGTGGCCACAGTATACCCGCAGCCCTCAGTGTCCCATAAAATAATGGCCAGTCTTCGCGAGCGAAGATCCGGGGAAGGTCTTTCCACCTTCCAGCCTGTGCATTGGATTTTTTAGGTGAGACACAGTGTGCGCGGAACTGAGCCCACCCTTTAATCCTAAGGTTCATCTGCCGGGGCCAAGCGAGCTTGGACGGTGGCAGTGAGGTCCTCAGGACATAGGTGGGTTGCCTATACAGGTAGAACTAAACTGGTCTAACAGCAAAGCTTTTAAACTGGTATAACAAAACCCCCAAGTCAAAATTTAGAATAAGTATCTAGTTTAAGAGGACCTTTTAAAAGGATGGTTTTATTATTACATTCGTTATTTCCTGATTTTATAAAATGAAATGAGAAGGAATATTTCCTCTGCTTTCTTTTATTGTCTACTCTTAAAAAATAATTTGTGCATAATTTTTCCTTCTGTATCCATTAAGGAGAAATTTCCCCCTCATGATAGACTTCTTATGCAACACTGGGCAAAAGACTAGATGCCCTGGAACAACTACAAAATATGTTATTTAAATCACAGGGTTTTCAATCAGATATGAGCAGAACCTGAAGCCACATATAATTCAGATTTCAAATTGCCTAGATTTCAGGTTGCCTAATATCCCCTGTAAGCTCTATGAAAGATCTGTCTTGCTTTCTGAATTCTGCAAATATGCAAATCAAAATACAGAAGCTATCTGCAAAATATTCACTGAGCTGTAATTGTGCAAGACAACCGGTCATCCAAAGCATTTGTAAGAAAGCCAGCAATGCACAGAAGTGAATTATTACTACATATCTTGTTTTGTAACTTGTTAGAAAACAAGCATAAATATGGTATTTGACCAATCCAAATTAATTTCTCAGCATGATATGCCACATCGATTTTAAGAAGTTTAAAACTGTGAACAGAAAGAGTTAGGATTCGCCACATCACTTATTTATACGAAAGCACAGTTTTAGCCTAACACTGCGTCTGCAGAACCACATGAAAACCTCCAGCTCTAGTCAGTCACAAATTTCAGAAGTAGCCCTTTGTCCTGCATGTACTTATGGAGAAGTGTTTAATACTATTTTTCACAGACTCCATCAGAGCTAGGAAGAGCTCGGGTGAGGCCATGGTCAGAGACAATCCACTCAAAAGGTGATTATAGAATGAATCTTGAAATATAGAGCTTTGAAAATATACTTTCAGAGATTATTAAGAAATTAATTTTATTTAATGGGTAAGCAAGTGGTATTTTGTTGCCTGGGAACTGTAAACTGGTAATCGATGAAGGTGAAATAGTTTACACCAACTACATGCAACTACTGCATTTTTCCTCTTCTCAATGCAGTTACCTGACAGCGAACACATTCAAAACCTAACTGGGCATAGGCTGGTGTTTTTAAAAGATGGGTCCAACCCTGCAGAGTGGTTTTGAAGTCCAAAATAGCACAGGAGAAGGGATAAGAGGCTGGTTCTCAACACTGCCCCAGAGAAGGAGGCAGGAGGAGTGTTCCCTTGGCAAAGCCTGGACTCTGCTTTGGCTTGCACCCACTGGACCTCTGCTGACTGAGTAGGAAGAGGGTGTGGGGCACCCATAGACTCCAGCAGATCACCACATACCTGCTTCAGGTTAATGCCTCCTCTAAGTTTTAACTCAAAATAGGGGTGGATCATAAAGTTTCTAACCTCCAAAAGAGCCCTTCCCTTTCAATGTTTCTGTTCAAGGACAACTATTTACTTGACCCTGGACTCTGATAAAAAGTTAAGGACTGGTAATATTGAGATTATTGCATTTTTTTCCAAGCTCTTTCTCCGTAAGTGTACTAAAGAAGAAAAATACTCACCAAGTATCTCTTTTGCAGCCAGAATAAAATGGAAAAGAGATCATTAATTAAATTGCCAGTTTAATACGTTTACGGTCTAAGTAGTACATTGGACATACTCCATTCTTTTGACCCTGATTCTGCAAAAGCATATGAGCCTCTATGCATAAAAGGTCATTAATCTGTTTACATATGCAGAGTTACTCTTGTGTACAAACGTCTAGAAACTCCAAGGCTTTGCTAAGATTTTGTAATTAGCAAAAGGTTGCAAATTCTTATATGAAGAAAAATATATTAAGCTAATCTGGGTTTTCCCAAGGCAAGTTTCTTAAGGGCTGATGCCCACTGTCACATCCCTCAGGTTAGGCTTGAATATTAAATGGATGTTCAAACACATGCAGTTGTGTGATGTGCTAAGGCAAGAACAGCAGACTTTATGGTAAAGGAAAACTCAGTTATTGGACTATAAATTACTATTTCTAAACTTGTGGAAGTGAGTTATTAAGCTTTCTAATAAAACTGAGCTGATGATAATTAACTTTCCTCAAGGAGACAGAAAACACTTAATGTTATTGAAATATGCTATGTAATAAAAGTATGTTATGGCATACACATATCCACAGCAATAAAGTAAATTAAATAAGAGGAATTTTCCGAAGTGCTCCAGGCTCTAGGCTGGTCTAACCTGTTCACACTGATGTCAAAAATAACATTCCCACAGATTTAAGAAGTCAGGCCAGTGCAGAAAAATACCTTCATGATCCACTGGCCATGCCATTTGTCATCTCTGCAGTCTGGAGTTTCTTTTATGTTGCTAATCTCATGGGCAGAAAGGAAAAATGACCCCTTCATCAGTGGAGGGATTTCTACCGTCAGGATTATGGTGCCTTGACAATTACAATTACTTCTCTAGATGAACCCTTAGACGTGTTACTTGCTTAATTGAAAATTCTTGTGGCACCAGCAAAAAAAACACCCATGCAGTCTTTCTTTGTGGTGCCACTCTAAAGTGGAAGAACAATCAAAAGGAAAGTCTGTATGGGAGCACTTGTCTCCTTTTAAGCTAGAAGCTAAGAAAAGGATACTGTTTTGTTGCCAAAATTCTTCCATTTAATGCACATATAAAACCTTTTTTTGCCTGGACTCCTGCCCAGAGCTGTTTCTCTCAACTTCCATTATGTTTAAAAATATAAATCACATCAGCGAAAAGATATTCTCAATGAGGTTCTGTAGCATATCTCTCCCCTCAGTTAATTTGTGTGAATTACGCTGTAGATCATGCTACGTCCACAACCTAGAGGTTTTCCACTCATGCATCATTATAGCCAATATATATTGCCAAGTTATATCACCATCAATCTATGAATAAAGAGAAACTCTGTCATAAAACAAAATAGATGGTGGTTTGTTCTCACATCCAATCACTCTAAACTGTGTCCGTATAGTTAGGAATAAGGTAAGGTGTTAATTTCACAGCAAAGATTTGGATCAGTTCCTACTCAATTATGGTACCTTCCCCTTGCCTTGCCTAAATGCATTTAATCAATTCACAGTAGCCTAGTTTTCACCACCCGCTATCTTCTCCCATAACCCCAGGCCTTCCAGGGCTTCCAGCCAACAGGGAACAGAGGCTTCTCTTTCAAGTTTCAAGCTCCCTGCCTCTTCCCATTTCCCTTAAGGACGGCCAAAATCTGCCCTGTGAAATTATCACAGGGCAGACTTGCCAGCCGAGCCAGGCTTTTACACCACGCACAGCAGTGCAGTAGCTCAGCACATCCAGCTCTAGATCATTTCTTCCAAAGAACAACATCCTCTCATTACTCCTCCATAAAGAGGTGCAAGGATTTTAACTGACAGTTGAGCATAAGAGGGATTTGGCACTATGCATCTGACAGAGGCACCACCTCGTCTCTTAAACCAGAACACTCTCTTACACTTTGAAAAAGTTCTGCTATAACCACATAAGGAGGTCCATCAGCATGATTAATCCTTAAAATGTCAGTCAGGTTAGATGAACTTTCCAGGTGTTGCACAGCCCACAGTGGCTGGTGTGCACTTGCCCTTAAGGATGCCACATACAAATACTCAGTACTGACAAAAGTAGATGGTTGAGAAAAATATTTTCTTAAGAAATATACCATAATAAGAGATATACTTTAAAGACAGTATTTTTAGAACAAGTTTTCTAAGTTAATTTCTTTGTACCTTTCTTCCAACCAATGTCTCGGTTTCCCTGAATTCTATGAAAACCTTAATGGTTATTTGTTTGTTTGTTTGTTTTAAGGACCCAAAAAATAAAGGTAAATCAAATTGATAAATGAGAAAATCTGAGCAACTGCCACTATGGATGGTGGACATGCTTTAGGAAAAAAAAAAAAAATAAATCCAAAGTGGTAATTTTCCCCATGCAGCACAAACACATTTTCTCTCTGCTTTGAGTTTCTTGACTCCTGCAAAAATAAAGTAGTGACACGAACTACTATACAAAAAAATAATTCTGCTTTCTCAAAATATCAAAATGTAAAAGTAACAGACTCTTTTCAAGTGGCTTGGCAGTTCAAGGCTCAGTTTTTATGCAGAGTCATCCAACTCCGCAGAGCTGGGTGAAGCCACAGCTCCACCAAAGTCAAGGAAAACTCTGACCCAGGTTTCAACAAAACTGGTCCAATTTCACTTTTCTCTGGTGTCTCATGTCAAGACATACCTGTGATACACTGAAGTTGAGAGTCTCTAGATGACAAAACTGATGTTCTCAGCATCAATACATCCCAGAGTGCTGAAACTATATGAAATTGCATGGAAATCTCTTGAGGGAATGGGGACATACCAACACTGTGTCCCGGTACTTGATTTTATGTATATATCCCGTTGACTTTTCAAGTGAAGTCACACCAGAAGAACATTTTCACACTAAATACCCTTATCAGCCAATTTGCACTTGTGATGTATTGAGCTGGGCAAGCCACAGCTGCCTCCTGTTTTGTTCAGAGCTACAGTATCTACACTTGGCGTAAGCAACTCCTATAACAAAGTTTACTTTGTCTACAGCACACAGATACTTACACAATATGAGCCAGGTTTAGAGGTTTTTCAGGCTGGTCAGGGAACATTGGGTGCAAAGGTTCACGGCTGGAAGCACAGCTTAAAGACTTGCTAAGTGCATTAGTTAGCTTCTTAGCAGGTGATTTCTGGGAGGAACAAGGAAGGTAGAGGTAATCTGGACAAGTAAGGTGCATACTGTTTCTGCTATAGGAAGCACAAAACAACAGGAAGCTCTAACAGCTTACATACCTATGGACTGACATTCCCCTTGCCCCCCTCCCACCCTGACAGTCTGGTAAGGCAAGGACTGCTCCATTTGGAGGAAAGATGGCTCTTCTCTCCAGCGACCTTTAGAGTAGGCTCAGGGGGTATATCTATAGGGACAGTTGCCATGGCTCTTCTGCAATGCTGCACTCAGGCAATATTGCACGAAGGACAGCACAGTTAATGTCACCTGGACTGGAGCTGGATTGTACCTCACCAGCTTGGGAATGCAAGGAGAACAAATCTGTGTATGCCTGTCCATATAGATATACTGTATGGGACACCATTTCTTTCCTAGCTGTGGGCCAGGCACAAGGCTGCTATATTGTCTCTGATCACTAGTATTTCTCTCTCCTCTGCTCCAGTACCCTGTACTGTTCAGGTGCTATTAAAAGCTCCTCTTTCACCTCCCATGGCCACAGAGGAATGGGAAATTTGAGACATGGGCATGGCAGGAATTGCCCCACTGTGGCAACAGCACGCCAAAAAAGGCTGACATACTGTCACAGTCACCAAAATGTGGGGAGGCTCTGTGTAAGAAGCATGATTTTCACCTTGAAATTCCATCAGCAAGTCTAAAAAAACCCAAAAACCAAACAGTATTTTCTGTTTTATAATTTTGTTTGGAGGCTCTCTGAGGAGCAAACTCAACTTCCCTTCTAAGGAAGGGCTTGGAGGTCTACGGTGTCTTTTAGGCTGTGTGAGAGATTCTCAGGGAATCCAGCCCAGCTCTCTGTGATTCAGCTTCTCTGTTAGTAAAAGAGGGGTAGTGATCCTTACACTATCTCCTTCCCCCAAAACACAGCTCTACCTGCTGACATTTAAGAACCTTTTTGGAACTTGACAGGAATTGCATTGTATTTGTGCATACACATCCTGCATCGATTTATGCCTGTAATCAACTTAATAATGAAATATTTCTATTACAGAAATCCGACATAAATATGTAAAGTTCAGGCTCTTCCATTATAAATGCAATTTCACTCTGAATTGAGAACAGTTGAGTTCCACTGGACCCATAAATACTCTTAATCTGCATATGGAGCTCGACCTGGATGCATTACGGAGAATGCTAACCAGGTTTGAACAAATGCTAATGCATGCTACAGAAAGGCAATTTCAAACTTGAAGCAAAACATTTGTTTCTGACAAGGAAATGTCTGAAACCACTAGGCATGTAGTCACATTTTTGTCTTCTGCTGAGCAGAAATCCTAAGTCTTCCAATTACTTCCTACCTATAACCACAGCTCCCTGGCTATGGCAAAAAATGATTTTATAGCACAAATTGCTGTTAGGAATAGAATCAGAGCTACATAGTGAGCACTCTCCTATTCAGAGACTAAACTCCAGCCATTTGTGTCTATGCAACAAGCAGCAATTAGGACCCACAAAAAACAATTACAGACCCAGGTCTGCTGGGATACAGTGCAGGGCTGTATGACTGGAATACAGAGCAAATCACGTAAAATTTAACCCTTGAATGTCCCATCAACAGAAAACCAGACATTTTACAAGTGTTAAGCTTCAGAATTTTGTTAAAAAAATACATACTAAGTAGTGTAAAAACATGAGCTCCTGCTATATGCATAATTTTATTTTATTTTTTAAACAATATTTTTCTCTTATGTTTGAGATTAGTTAGGATTTGAACCCCGAAGGATTGTGATGCTCTGTGACCAAGGGCTTCTGTTGGGGCTTTGCTCCAGTCCATGGAGAGCTTAGTCCCCAGGTCTGACGCCCTTCAGAGAAAGTTAATGCAGCTGTTGATACTTCTTTTTCAGCTTAGAAAAAACATTGCGTTATTCTGATTAACAACAAAAAGTTTGAAGTGTGTTTTTCTCTAATAGTAAACACTACTGCGGATCCAAGCCTGCGACCATGCTCAAATTTACAGTGCCAGGACCATCCCAAATGCTACGCATATGCTGCAGCCACTCAACTGAAAATACTGATGAATGAGCATTAAGTATTCATCATTTCATTTACACGCAGCCAAATAGAGCAAGCCAATGACGATTTTACCGTGAGTCCTGTGGGAATGGGAGAAGCTGCCATGAGCCTGGTGCCCTGCTGCCAGCCCCTCCTGCGCTGCCCTCACGCGTGGCACACACCGTCACAGACGCCCCAGATCCTCACACAGAAAAGATCATTTACCACCTCCACGCTCTCCCGATGGCTCCCAAGACCAGAGCCTCCCAGACAGAGTCACTAATTCACACTGGCAGCCCAGCTCCCTGGCTCCAGACAGCTGCCCAGAGCTGCGGCCGGGGGCTTCTCCGATGGCTGGAGAGCAAAGCAGTCTGCAGTGAGGCGCGAGCTTTCCCTTACCCATGACGTGTACTCTTTCATTTGGTGCTGGTTGCTGTGGGAACCGCTGGCATGGCCCCTCCAGAAGCAGTCCTGACAGAGCTGGTAATTGTGACACTGCTGGCAGCGGTAGCGAAACCCCATCATGCTCTCGCTGTGGCAGTAGGAACACTCGACGGGGTGGAAGACTGCGCAGGAGAAAGAAATGCCGAGCAATAAACCAAAACAAAGAAACACTCAGCAAAAGTTTATGGACAAAGCCCCAGTCCAAATGGCGTTCCCTTCTTTGTTTAAAGAAATCTGCAGCATCAGATGCTGTTGACAGCTCTGACCCGTGAAAATAGTGCAACCTGTGCTGAGCCAAGGGCAACATTTTCTACACTGGACAACAAACCCATCTTCAATTCTGAGCTGGTGTCTGTACATCCTACTTGGAGCAGCAAAAAATGTGTTCACCATCTAACAGAATGACAGTCCAAAGGACGGTCACAAAGATGATCAGAGCACCTCTCCTAAGAAGACAGGCTGAGAGAGTTGGGGTTATTCAGCCTGGAGAAGAGAAAGCTACAAGGAGATCATAGAGCACCTTCAGTAATTAAAGGGCTAAGGAAAGCCGGAGAGGGACTTTTGACAAGGACATGTAGTGAGAGGGCAAGGGGGAATGGCTTCAAACTGAAAGAGGGTAGGGTTAGATTAGATATTAGGAAGAAATTCTTCTCTCTTAGGGTGGTGAGGCACTGGAATAGGTTTCCCAGAGAAGTTGTGGATGATCTGTTCCTGCAAATGCTTGAGGCCAGGTTGGATGGAGCTTCGAGCAACCTAGTCTAGTGGAAGGTGTTCCTGTGCATGGCAGGGGGGTTGGAACTAGATCTTTAAGGTTCCACCCAACCCAAACTATTCTATGATTCTATGTTAGATGAAATGTTTCTCATATGTGAGAAACCCCTTCAGCTGCATTACTGGGGGTAGCTGAATGTTTTATTGTGTTGGAAGGAGCTAAAGTGATGCACCTTGGAGGAAAAGTCAAACTCAGATGTCTGATTACTGAAAACACAAAACTGTCCTTTGGCATGTAATTGTCTCTTAATTACTGCTGTCTCATTTGTACAACTGGTGTCATTTAGGTACCTACTTATGGAGTTGAACACTTGGCTTTGGATGCCCAGATTTGGAGAGCTGGCCACTGAAGGGGATCTGTGTGGTCCTGTTCTCTGTTCAGAAGCAGATATGACAAGGATGCAAGTCACTGAGCACACTAAGGCACCATCTGAGATATTCTGAAACACCTTCCTGGCAATAGTGTTATTTCTGTTCCTCTCTCCTCACTACAGCATGTACCCAATTTACCACAGGGTACCGAACATCTCCTTGTTCCCAGGCACCTTATGCTTTTCTGTTTTAAGGTTCAGTTTGAGAGAATGTGTATGTGCTGAGTATGTCAGGGTTTTAATTTCTTGCCAGAATTTTGCAGCAGGAGGGGTTAGTGCTCTAGGCTAGGAAACAGTGTGAAGCTGGTGAGGGACAGAGATGGATGACAAGAGCTTGAGGAAGGTGGGGTAGATAGGTTGCTCTGTAGCCAAAAATGGCTTGGGAACATCACCTTACCCACCTCAGTGCCTTTCAGTGTAAGAGGGATTTATTCAGTACAAGAACATATACAACTTCCTCCTTTTCCTTTTATCAACAAAAAACAGATGCACACCTCCCCTTCCACCAGCCTCATAATCTTGTTGGAAGTATGGTATAAATACTTCTATTGCCTAACAGGATGAGTATATATGATCTTTTTTTCCTTCTGTCTCACACTTCTTTTTGCAGTGTTCCAAAGCTTCAGTTATGCTTGAGGTTGCTTCAAGGGAGCAACAACACAGAAATATTTAACAAGCCCCTTACACAACAACCTCTGAGGCAAAATACTGGGTGGGAAAATGGTTTGAAAAATCTATTAATCTTGTTAAATTAATATTTCAAATTTTTTGTATAAACTTTCTCCAATTTAAAACTAGCTCCTTTTTTCTAGATTTAAAGTGCTGGAATAATGACTACCAGAATCATTGCATCCTGATGACTATGAGTAAGAAATGCCACATTATATGCTGATAAATAAGACAGTAAAAAGGCATTTCTTGTCTCATGGGGTTTTTTTTTTCTATTTAATATTGGTAGTTCTGATCATTCTGGACAGCAGAAGCCATCTGCATTGGAGCTGGGGAACTGCTCCAGAACTATATGAGGAACTGTACAGAGTTTGTGGGCTGTGATTTGGCAGTGCACACAGTGAGATGAGATGCACAAGCTTTCCAGCTCTGCCTCTGCACTTTCAGTGGGGCAGCACCTTCTGTAGAAATGGTATTTGAAGGGTTTGGCTGGAGGACTACACCTGTGAGTCTGTGAACTTTTCTCCAGGTGCTCAAGAAGTTGGAAGGCTGAGGAAGATTATACTGTCCAGGGACATGCAACAGGCACTGGGCATGAATCAAATGAGTTCATCTTCATGGTCCCTTTCTATCTTAAAGTCTATGATCTACTCATTTCAGGAAAAGACAACCCTCGAGGAGAAAGAGGCATCTCACAGTTAAATCCTCATTTTCCACACATGCAAAGGATAAGGATGAATCTAAAACTTCCTCTTCAAAGTATACGGTCTGGCAAAGTATACGGTAAGCTTAGAAGGAGATTCTTCATAAGGACCTTTTGGCTGGTATTTCACACTGCACTGGACATCTCCTGTCAAGAATACTGCATGAATGGAAACTACCAAGCTGTTCCTTCTCTGCTGCCTTATGTCATCCCTAATGAAAGTTGTGGTCTTGACAGTTTACCAAATAGAAGTGTGTGAATGGATCAAGTCCTATTGCTCTCTGCTGATCCAGAGCACAGGAAGAAAGGACATGATCAGGTTAATTTCCTGATCATAGTAAAATTCAAGCCACGTTCCCGGCTGAATGACCAACAGACTTCTTCAAATATTTTACTAGTCACAGTAAAAAGTGCTCATGGAGTCAATGAACCCAAACACAGTAGCTTCTACAAAACCATCTACAGAGTGAGAAAATTATCACACAAAAGTTTACTCTTGTAATTCTGTTTTGGCGGCATCTCTTACTTACCATTTTCAACATTTGCCAGTCGATGCAGAAGTGGTAACCACACTAGACACTGTGGCGGGGGATCAGACATGAGAGTATCCAAGAAAGTGTTTAATGTGACTTTTTTCTGCTCAAATAAGCACACAAACATGCACAAAAATCAGTAATTAGGAATCTCAAAATAATTTTATCTCGTCATTTCAAAAACAATTGGGAAGATATTTCAAATACTGTTTGCCTGAAGCCCTGATTCACTAAAAAGAACAAGTGATAGTAGCAAAGCTTTTCTGGACTATTTTTAGTTGGTACAATGATACAACTGATGCCTAACAGTTCTTCTCACAAGGCTGGGTTGGAGATACCTAGCTCCCACTCATTTCCAGACTCTCTTCTAGAGTCACTGACTGAAGATGCTTTGTGATTAAGGGTGGCATTCAACCCTTCATGTTCTCATGTGTTTTGAGTATCATATAAGTACAAGTGCATGTAGGGTATCACTATGTATGATCAATTTTCAAACAAGAAGTCACTGCAGAGAATGGCTCATAGTACTCCAAAACAGAAAATTAGAGAAAATACTGACAAGGGAGTAAAAATTTGAAACAAATAAAGGGTAAGAACAGACCAGCACAGGTAAGTTGTTACTGTAATTTAAGAAACTATGCTTATCTGAGGAGTGATGGCAAGGATTTATGGGTGAGCTCTGATTGTGGGATGTTGTGTTTGCATGTGCTCAGGGACTGCAACTGTTCCTAAACTCCCCACACCTTTAAGCACTCAAAGATCTATGCCCCTTTAAATTTCAAAGAGATTTAAACTCTAAAATATCTCTGTTGATTTTAAAAATTCAATCTAGGGCCTTAAGTTTCTTAGGTGTCTGGAAAAAGTAATCACGAATCTTAGTTCATTTGTTTTTTCAATCGGCAACCGAGTCTTCCTTAAATAAAATTTAAGATGCAAAAATATAGAGTCCTGTTGAGAACATATGCAGATATATTTTATACACATACATATTTAAGTAGTATCCCCATATCCAGAGGAATTGCTAAATCTTCATCTCTGATTGCATAAGCTACTGCTTTAACTTGCTAAAGAACTGTGGTTACCCCATGAGAAAGCAAGGCAGCAGTTATGTAGTGACAGGCATCATCTCCACGTGTTGTGGAATTCTTTTAAGAGCTGAGATTTCCAGATAGAACGTCTGTGCTCCATTTATACACAATTACCACTAGATGTAAATAAAATCATTATTTCTCTTATACACTGAGTGATCAATGGAGGACATCTCATGCTGTAACCGTCCCAGGGCTGAAATATTGCAAGACATTGGGAAAGATATAAAGATATTTGTCCCTAGGAGAAAATACTTCAGGCTACTGTGAAAATGGTCTTGATTCTTTAATGAACAGAAATAGCCAGAATATGAGCTCTAAATCTCACCGGAATACTATCTTTTCCCACAACACCTGCATTATGAAAGTCCAGTCAAACACTACCATCTGCTTGTTGTATGAATTATCTTCCCAGCCACGGTGAATGGATAACCATTTCCCAGATAGGTATCTTATGCTATAGGCATCAGCTCACAGGAAAGGATCTTCCTTTTGGAGACCTGCTGGGGATGTCCGGCATGGCTTTGCTGACCAATGCTGCCAGCACATGTCTGTGGTGTTGGCTGCAGAACTGAGAACACAGGAGGAAAAAAGGGACATCCAGTGCCCCATACTGCAGAGCTGAGTAGCCCTCTGCTCTTGAAGGGATACACCCACTGGGTCTAAACAAGCAAATAGATGGGGAGACAAGAACAGCTCTTCCACAACGCAGTAGGCTTTTGAGTGCAGCTATAACTTAAAACCTGATTTGCACCAAATAAAGCAACTCAGCTTCAATGACAGCTTTATGGCCCAACTGTTCAGGTGATCACTGATTTTACGGATTAGAGAGAGCAGTGTCCCTTAAAAAGACACCATCAGAGCAATTTCCATACATTTTCCTCCTGCAGTTTTCTTTCAGCTGCTGGGAAAGTTGAAACTGAAAGCTGTTTTCTAAATATACACTACATACAGATGGAGTCTAGGTTTGTGGAATAACACTTGTCTAAGTGTTAAAAAAATGAAGCTAGTGTCTATCTTTTCAGTTTGGGATAAGAGAAGAGAATTTTTTAAAAAGTGTTTTTTACAATAGTAACAACACTGTTTAATGCACACTTTATATATAACATCACATCAGTCCTACCTATGGGAGAAAGTGGTGGTGATAAAATTCCTTTTAGAGCCACAGATTTGTTTTCTGAAACATTAAGTCCCTTGCTTCAGCATTTCTGTTCCATAAATTTGCTGATGAGGAAACAGTTGTTTCTACTTTGAATAGCCATTCAAACTAGCAGTGGTTCATCACAGGCAGAGGAAAATACACGGTTTGATGAAGTAAACCAGTATAATGGGGAATAATAAAACATTTCTGCCATAGGAAAAATCCTTTCATATGTAAACTGAAATAGATTTGACACCCTGAGCCAAAAGATCATTCCCAGGATCTTTTTTCACCCTGAAATTGAAGAACCTATATGTATCAGGGGGTTGAAAGGTTTGTAGTTAGAAAAAGTGATCCACAGTTAGAACAAGAGAGAGTGCCAAACTTATTCCAAGGTATCAGTTTTTGATAATGCTAAGTACAATCTGAGAGAGTGAAAGAATGACCTATGGTGTGACTACAACTGTAAATACCATTTATCATAGTATCACAGAGATCTGGGATTTTTTTGACTTTCATTTCAAAACTTTGTTTCATCCCTAGTGAGGATGTAATGAGAATTACATGCAGTCAATTTAAGTGAAATATTAGACTAGATTTACAAGAGTACTTGGCTGCCTCCAGATGCAAAACAGCAGCTTTGTAAATCTGCTGTATACTTACAACAGTCAGACAGACTTAACTCCTTAGCTCCAAATGGAGCTTGTGAACAAAACCATCTAATGTCTGCTTGAAAACTTTGTTTCTTAAGGTACCTTAATGCATCTGCTCCACTCAGTTGGTTGCTCTCAAAGTATCATTTCTGATGGCTACTGAGATAGAAAACGAGGCCTGAATTACAATTTTTTCAGGAAAATAAATTCCTTTTTTCATCTGTAATAATAGCATGTCCAACATGCAAAGCTTGAATGTCCTGTTGCCACACAAGAGCACTTTCATTACTTTAACACAAAACTACAAAAAGTCACTTCAGTATGTAAAACTCTTCAACACAACGTAAGATGAAGTGCTGTATTAAGTCTCCCTCTGTGAAACAAGACTAGTTTCACATACGCATTTTAAATGATTTGGGAGATGATTCAATAAATGAATTTCAACAGCGCCTTTCGGTTGACTGGAGTGCCTATTGATTAGTGATGAAACTGAGGGAATACAAAAAATGAGACTCTATTTTGCATGAAAATGACACTATTCCTGCTCCATTGAACTTACTTGTACAATAGCATTCATTTAGTGAATGGAAGGAAAACAACTTTATTTATAACGTTTTCCCAGTTTCATCATCTTCCCTTACTTTATATTTATGGAATTATACAATGTGATGTGTGGCAAAAAGCCAGAGGAATTCTCTCCTTCTCCACTGAAGAAGTGGACAACCAGCCTTGATTATGGGATCTTTTGAAGTGCTGTGTATTACCTAAAGCCAAAGTACTGTACTTAGTGAGCCTACAGAGTCTTGTGAGCTGTGAAAAAGTCTTGTATTTTCTTCAGGATAAATTCATTGCTTTCCTGAGCTATGTCCCTGATGTTACTGGTAAGAGACCACGGATTTCCTAATACATACTGACTCCCATTTTCAAAAATGTTTTAAGGTGATTTTCTTCTCACTCCTAAACTTCTTGTGTGTGTCTCACTGGGAAAACCTGCAGTCTAATTTTTTTGGGTGGACCTGAGCTTTTTATGGGGAAGTTAAAGTCCTGTGTATGCTTATACCAACAACAACTAAGTGAAGTGTAGGACTGCATGTCTTGGGGTATATATATATCACCTAAATGTAAATATCTAACAGGTGCTTAAATTAGGAAATTAGTCTCCTTAGCCTCCCTAATTTAGGAACACATAAGTCAAAATCCTGCTCTGAATCACTTTCAGAGACCAGCTTCCTGTTGACAGCACCAAATCCACATGCCAAAAATCAGCCAAGTGGACCTTCCCTCCATCCAGCCATGTGTTTCCTGGGTGAATATGCACATATGTGTGAGAAAGGAAGAAAACATTGGCCTGCTCGAAGGAGTGATTGAGATCCTGTGTCTGGGATGCTCACTCTTCATTTACCTGTTGTGAGAAACAGGATTTTGCTGACTGCTCAGTATAACCAAATGAAGGTCCTTCAAAAACAGCTGTGGGCAGCTTGAGAACCTCCCGCAGAAACATGTCGTATCTGCCATAAACCATCACTCCACTGGAGTCGGAAATCATTGAGAAAATATCTGAGGGGGAAAGAAACAAGAAAAGGACACAGCAGTTTCAGTGAGAGCTACAGAGTTGCTCTGAATTCAGTATCATCTGATTTGAACCAGAAGCCCTAAATATGTTTCGCTTATTGAAACCTCCCCTATTACTGCATCTTTAATTCCAACCTCTTCCAATAGAAAACAAAGAGAATTATTTGCATAGAAAAAAGCAGCTGATTTTAATACTAAAATATTCCTGACTTTTTTTTTTTTTTTCTTTTTGTGTGGCCATTTTTTAATAAAGTCTGATGCATGGCATGAAGCAGTAATTTAATGGATAAGAAGGCTCTGATTTGACAAGACACGCAACATCAGCTTTTTGCCTACTGCCAGCTTGCCATATCAAATCAAAATCTTGACAACAAGTTCATTAAATCACTTATTATTGTTTTGGACACACAAAGCACTGAAGGTCTTGCAAATTCATTACTTTTCACTCTTCTACCTTTTTTATGTATAAAAATATCACACTTTTATTATTGCAGGGATGCATGTTTCTAAGGCTCTACTTTTCTGCTTGTTTAAAATTATCCTGTGCTTAGCAGGAGATCACTGACTAAGGAACACTATCTGTTTTTCAGGCTGTCATGTCAGTTGCTTCATTTCCAGGAACCTGGATGGGAAATTCTGACAACAGGACTCTGGGACTGCTGACCCAAAAAATCATCATTGTACCCCAGCCTTCCACTGAAAGGACCCTGCTCCTATTCCTAAAGCAGCTAAAGGAACAAACAGTGTTCACTTTATAGCAGTGCTCAATTTATAATTTATAACTTTAGTTCGGTCTGTATTTGAGATTCTACATAGAAGTAATATATTAAAAAATGGTACCAAATCTGGAAGACTAAATCAGCACCTGGGATTTCTACTTGTCTACTCTAATCAACACCAACTTGCAAACTCTGTTTTCTTGGGCTGAGGTAGAAGGCCCAGGGGAAACTGAAGGTTTTTTTGATCCAGAAGTATGGATCTGAGCTATAGACATCACTAAATAGAAAGTCTTCCACTGCACCTACAAGTAAACTATGCCTTTGCTATTGGAAAACTGGGAATAAACCATGTGGAATGAGAATCACCAAAATAGATGGCATAAGCATGTGCCCTGTGGGAAGAAATATAAACAGTCCATAAATACATCATACTTCAAGATGTGAGCGAGATTGTTATTAAAAAATAATCAGAAGAAATTGCTGAATGATGCCTCATGATGTTGAGGCTCTCAACCTGTACTCTGAATTCAGTAATACCAAAGGAAAAAAACAGAATCCACCACTCAAGCTCAATATATGCAATTTGGCTTTAAAAATATGAAGTTGAAGTTCAGTGAGAAGTTCAACCAAACATTTAGTGGGATTTATATGGAGAAATATATAGTGCAAATCCCAAACCCGACCATGAAACTCTAACTTACCCTAATTCCCTCATACTGTTATTTCACCATAAGTAACAGATTTTTAATAGATAAAAAATGTCACCCAAAAGACTTACATCTTAATTTGTCCATGATTTTTCCTCCACAAAGTGTTGCCAAGGCCATTTTGACAGCAAAAACGGAAATTTTACCATGTCCTTCCCTGTTCAAAAGTAGAAAGTAGTCATAATTTACATGTCCATTGTATAATATGAGCCTCTGTCGATTTAAAATGCGTATCACTGACATCACTTACTGTAATGCACAATATATGTGGATCCACATACAAAGAAATAAGACATTTAAATGGAAAGTTTGTTTTGTGAGAACACACATCAGTACACTGTTTTGTAAAGATCTCAGAGCAGATTTATTATATATATGAAGCTTAGTATTACACTGTTTGTTACCCTCATCCTTTCTCTACATATCCATATACATGTAAGATAGACATGAATTGTGTACTCAGATCTGTACAATAAAGCATGCTACGTGCTTCACTGCTACGTTCATTAAGTCACTCAGACTTTAGGAAGTGAGCCAGTTCCCTAAGCTTGACTAGCTAATAATCTTTAAAGCTCAGTGAATTGGATTTAGTTCTATATCAGTGTAACCCATAATTCTAAATATTAATTCCAGTTATCCTTTACACTCATCTAAAATTCTGCTTTTTGTCAGAAAATCAACTGGAAATACAGGTAAAAAGTAATAAATTCATTACTTCAGTATTTTAAAAAGAAATCTTTACTATGTTCTTTAATGCTGACTTCTGTGTACATTTTCTTTTTCATTACATTGAGTTCCCTTTGACTGGCTTCATAAGATTAAAATCCCAGCAGAGTAACTTCCAGACTTCTTTATTTCCGTCCTTTGTTGACTGGATTCTGGTTTGTGTAAACCAGGACTTAGCACTGCTATGGCTGAACTTGCAGTCATTTAGTATCTTTTGTGTGCATGCTACCCTTTAGACCTCTAGGAATTTTTCTGCACTATTTCATCATGAGGTTTCCACCTGTCTTTAAAGAGTTGTTATATTTAAAAAAAGAAACGGTAAGTGGAAGGAATGGCATTATTAAGAAGCAATGGAAGGTTCAGAGGAAGAAATAAAGCCCGTGTGGAAGTGCTTCAGATTTATTTTTCCCAGGAGGTTTAGTTACATTTACTAATAGGATTATAATCTTGAATGGCAGACACATATCAGCTTGGCTTCAGCTTTCCAGCCCAGAGCCATCGGCTTTTCCCATACTCACACGATTACAGAACAGAGCAACAGAAAAGGAAAAGACTTAATTTATCTCTTCAATCTCTTCGTTCGAGTTGATTAGTTTTGACACTGTATTTTGTATCGGTCATTTGTATTCATAAAAGCATCACTAGAGCCAGCATAAATTCAATTTGCCCTCCAAATATGTCTCTGTGTGCGTGTGTGTGTGTGTGTGCATACATGTACACACATGCATATATAAATACATATGACGGATGAACAGACAGGATAATGGGGCCTAAGACTTGCCAGTGCCATTTGGATCTAGAAGGGCCCTAAGCTACGTCTAAGCACTACAGATGCCCCTGACTGGGGCCTCACAGCATTTGCCATGTAAAAGCAAATGCTGAAGCAGTGGCTCACGGCAGCATGAAGTGCTCTACAGAAGTCAGTGCTCCCTGAAAGAAGCTTTAGGCTGGCTAATGCAAAGAGATACGAATTTTACTAGTGGAAATAGGAGAGGACAGAAAATATCTTGATTTTATATAGCACCTCTCTTGCTGAGGTTACTCTTCAGAATCCTACAGAAAAGCAGTAGGAGCATAAATGATGTCAAAAGCAAACCTTGAAGCTGATGTGCACTTAGCAATAATACAGGATGGAGTACTTAAGAAAGGCAGCGATGGCCAGGGCTTAAGGTTATCTCCTTCTGCTTGGGAAAAAAAGGGCAGAAAATAATACATGCTGTTAGACACCAGAACAGAGCAGAAGGTTTCTTCTAATGCATAGCTGCAGAGAGACAGCCTGTCCCCAGAGCAAGGAAACCCCACAGACTGCCTGACAAAATCCACAGACCATACAAGGCTAAGTCCAGCTCCAGGGCTTGAATTTGCCTTCTGGGTCACCAAGGAGAGCGGTACAAATGGATGACACTGTCATTTGCCAGGATCTCTAGCAGTACTCATACTGAGACAACCATATGTTGGGGAAAGCTATAAAGAAATAACATCACATCTTTAGAAGTAGTAAATAAGTCCCATGAAATGGACATGGAGAAAATACAATTTTTCTCATTAACTAGGCATGAAGTTGTGCTCCAACACTGTAAAGTATCTTATCCAAAAGTAATGTAATTTCTTGGTTACTGGTGGGCCTCCTACTACCTGACCCTAACCAGGGCAGCCAATTCTGAAATGTCAGAGGCTGCAATTACAAATTCTCATGTTTCAGAGAAAAAAAATTATTGACATCAAGCAAAATTTTTTCATGTAGGAGAGCAAAATGCATAATGACCCAATCTCTGAAATGCATTTTTTTTTTTTCTGGACTTCCTTTGTAAAAGCTGGCTGGCCTCTGTGGCTTTCAATGAGTAGCAAAGGCGGAGAAGAGAGGGAATTAAACAATTCAGTGCTCTGAATAGATGGATGAGCAAGAAGTTATATTTCCAAAAGAGACACCAAGCATCTTTGTGTATTGAAATCAGTACTATTCATATGTGCATTTGATTAATAGTCATGGGTATAACTATTTCCTCTTTTCTATGTAGAAGTCAAGCTTCCCCAGACCAGACTGGGTCTGTTTCACAGCCCAGAGCCCACAACTCCATTCACAGGACAGGTATGTTAAGGAATAGAAAAAATTCAGCTATTTTCTTATCAGTAAAAACATTGCAGAGGGAATAGTTGGAGATGATCTAGCACAAAATATTTCCCAGTCTGTTAAAGAGAATCTTTTAGGGAATGACTCAATTGAATAAGGCTGGCATTCCACCTAGCTGCCTAGGCTTTGACACCAGCCTGGGACAAATTTTTCAGAGAGGTTTGAACTTGTCAACTTTTTATAGTACTTGGCGTGCCAGTGAAGGAAATGTGTTATTATTTCATAAATCCACTTAATCACCTTAGGCCTTGAAGCAAAAGCTACTGCCCAGTTTTAACATGCACTTAAAAACAGAGATCAGGCAAGCTTCTGTCCAGAATTTTTAAGTCTGAACACCTCATTCTGCTCATTGGTTTTGGTCTATCAGGGTCATCTGCCACACGATGCTGACTCTCACACACCAATGATAAATTAATTGGAGAAGGATCTCTGTGAATTTTGAAATTTTTTGACTTGCAGTTTTATAAGGTTGCACACTAGTTTACTTTTAGTAGCATGAAGGAACATCACACTCAGTGTCATGTGAAATTTTGTACACTATAATTTTCCCCCACTTTTCCTCCCTTCAGTGTTGAGCAGCAGAGAAATATAATTATTTCTAGGCTTAATGAGTCCCCAACACCATGAAAAGATCTTAAAAAAAACGGGATGTAAGCTCAGCATGGGCAGTGGCCAAGTTGGCACACATGTCATAGCACTGCACTGTGGTTCCTTTTATGTTTTTCTAGCTAAGTTTTAGCTCCTGAGAAGACATCTGTATTGCAGGCCTAGGGAAACAGTCCTTGCCAGAGGGCACAGAAACCTGCCAGGTTTTCAGTGGGCTAGATACAAAGAGAGAAGCTCTGTTTCAAGCTTGGAGGATCTTCAGCTAGCGCAATACCCACAGAGCAGCATATATATTAACTAGAACTAAAAAAATGAGACAGTTGTAGGTTTATTTAAAACGTGAAATAACTTGCCTCTTTTGGTTCTTTCATATATGTTGAATTACAGACACAACACAGCAGGAGCAGCCATAGCCCTGTGTGGCCACGAACACCAAACCTATCCATGATCACTTAGAACAGCCTTCTCATTTACTCTGAAGAGCTATTTGGTTTTGGTCTACTGTTTTGATCTCAGAAAGATGTTCTGGGTATTTTACGGTTTAGGGGTTTTTTCCCATTGTTGTCTGTATTCTTAGCATCAAATGTGATCATATAAACATTCATTAATGACATGAAAAATAAGTCCTCAGTAGTCATCTAGAAATTCGAGTTGCATCTCTGCAGGTCAACTGTTTCCTTAAAACACAAGGCTAAGAAACCAATGAGTGAACCCAGATCAAAGAAAACAGGTTTAAGAATGGCTCTTGTTATTTCAGTATGATTCATGCACCACATTTTTTCATCAGAGAAGACTGCAGATGATTTAATTTAACTTTCCAGTTTCTGTAAATGGGGGGAGAGTGAGAACACTTCATCCTGCCTCACGGCTCCACCTCTGTTCTTTCTATATCATAGAAACATTAAACAGCTTGGGTTGGAACACCTCAGAGAACATCTAGTTCCAACCCTCTTGTCGCAGACAGGAACACCTTACAGTAGGCCAGGCTGCTCAAAGCCACATCCAGTCTGGCCTTGAACACTTCCAGGGACGGGGCATCCACAGCCTCTCTGGACAGCCTGTTCCAGTATCTCACCACCCTCATAGTGTAGAATTTCTTCCTGATATCCTAGTCTCTTAGGCCTAAACCTACTCTCTTCTAGTTTGAAGACATTCCCTTTTGTCCTACCACTACATGCCCTTCTAAAAAACCTCTCCATCTTTCTTGTAGACTCACTGCAGGTAGTGGAAGGCTACAAATAGGTCACCTTGAAGCTTTCTCTTCTCCAGGCTGAACAAATCCAACTTTCTCAGCTTGTCTTCACAGGATAGGTGCTCTATCCCTCTGATCAACTTGGTGGCCCTCCTCTGAATTTGTTCCAACAGGCCTGTGTCTATCCTTCCTGTGCTAGGGACCCCAGAGCTGGATGCAGTACACAAAGAGATGTCTCAGGAGACAGGAGTAGAGGGCCAGAATCACCTTCCTTGACCTGCTGGCCACATTGCTTTTGATGCAGCGTATCTGGGCTGTGAGCACATATTACCAGCTCGTGTCCAGCCTCTCATCCACCAGCACCCCAGGTCCTTCTCCTCTGGGCTGCTCTTGATCTGTTCATCCCCCAGGCTGTATTGACATGGGGGGTTGCCCCAACCCAGGTGCAGCACCTTGAACTTGGTCTTGTTAAACCTCTTGAAATTCCCATGGGCCCATTTCTCCAGCCTGCTGAGTCCCTCTGGATGGCATGCAAAGCACTGTTTGTCTCTGAGCATGACACCACAAGAAAAGACCCTGTTCCTCCTTCCAACAACTTGTAGCCTTCAGCAGAAAATGACCTTTCTGCTGCACTGGAGCGGAGGGACAGGAGTAACATGGGAAGCAGAGACATCAGCTCTGGTTCGATCTCAGCAGCTCTCACACCATCCCTGTAGGATGTAGAGCCACCTCCCTCACAGCAGGAAATCTGGACCACCACTGGTTGCTGTAAAGTTAAGATATGCAAGTACCCCAGAAATTCCAAGGCATCAGAAAGAATTCAAAAAATTTATTTAGAAGGCTGGAACACGAGAAACTTGTGAAATACCTAACAGTGAGGTTTACACACTGGGCCTCAGGGAGAAAAAGGCAAGTTCCCACCCTCTCAGGGCCTCTTCATCCTCTCTGTTTCTCCCCTGCCTTCCCAAGGTCTCTGTACATGTCTGTTAGGGCTATTTCTCTCCGGCATAGGAGAGAGAGAGATAACACAGCTCTTTCTGCAAACCCCCTGGACTGCAGGAGCAGAAAAAAATCTAACCCTCTTGAAAAGGCACTTTGCAGGCTTCCTAAGGGAAAACAAGAATTTTTAGCTTTCCTGTTACAAATTCTTCCAAAAGCAAACTATCCCTACAATTGCTAAAACAACATCCAACACAAAACTTCAATAATATGAACCATACTAAAGGGTAGGGCACATTTTGAGGATCAGATGCTTAACTGGTATGTTTATACTTGTGACAGTACAGACAGATGTTTAAACTCCCATTACAGTACGGGAGACTGAGATGACACATATCTCCATGAAGCCTGAACTTAGGTATCTCAGACTGCACTTGAGCCTGATCCCAGATGTTTGGTATATTTAAAATGGGGTGATAGGCAGCTAGTCCCTATCTCTGACCCCAGAGCTGGAAGCCTCTTCCTAGTGGTTCCTTTGGTGTCTATGCCCTTCTGGGAAGTGTATCCTATGCACTTCGCTCAGAGGCGGTAAGACAGACTGAGTAGCTGCTTGACAAATGGAGGGAGGATCACAGCCTCCTCACCCCTGTGAGGGTCTGACTGGAGCCCATAAACAGGTCATGAACCACAGCACATGGGATGTTTTCAGGGAAAGCAAAGCCTTACCCCTTTAAGAACATTCTCTGATTCCCTGCAGCGGATTAAATTCCTCTCCTCCATTTTGCTGCAAGCAGCCATGCTGTCTAGCTGAGATCTTTACCCCTTTACAGCAAGCTACAAACCAAGTACATTATCCCAGGCCTTGCTTCCACAGTCCTGGGTCTTACCCTGTGTTCACCAGCCAGGAAGCAGTCTGCTTGTGGCATGCAGCAATGAATACATCTGGTCATTTTAAGTATCTCTTAGTATTCTTGTCACAGCCACAATGGTAGGAATTAAAATGCCTGTTCCTTCCTTTATTGCCCTTGAGGGGAAAAAAACATTCCTGAAGGCTGTGGTTTCACAATGTATTGCCTTTTTTCTTCCCCTCAGAAGGGGCAGAGGAGAGGCTGAGAACAGCCTTCTCATGTGGAACATCTATCTACTTTTTCTCCCTGTTGCCATGGTGACTGAGCCACCGGCTGGTCTGGCGCCGAAAGGTGCTCATGACACCCAGTACCCGGGCATCAAGTGAGAGGACTGGAAAGAGGAAGAGGGCCAGCATCCTTACTTTAATGTGTCATGGCCAGTGTTTTCTGCTGGTGAATTTTCAAAATATAAGCCATAAAGCAACAATAGGCCATCTGCATCTGTCAGACTTAACCACTGTTCTCCAATAATTCAGTTTTGAGGACTACAAATATTGCAGTACAGGTTGCCAACTAGTATTCAGAAACTGTAATAGGTATGGGGAGCATACTAGTTAAGAAAAGTGGCTCGCTCTATCTCAAACTTCCTCTTGGTGAAACATGAGTCCCATGCAGCAATAAACAACATGAATTTCATCACCTCCATGTCTTTAGTCCTATTTCTGTCCTGCTCTCAAAATCATGCTGCACTGGCGTGAGCCAGGAAAATAAAATTGCTTACAGCTGCAAGACCTTGCAGGGAAATGAGCTCTTTCAAAATAATGAGCTATTAACCCATGGCACTGCCGCAGAGGCATTGCAGTGGTGTCAGCCACTGGTGTGTCAATAAATAACAAGGCAAATTAGAAGTGCATGTAAATTTGTTTCTGTAGATAATTCTTCTTTGATATAAACTGGAACAAGTCTGAGTAGCTGGATGAAAACACAGTTGTGCTGAATTTGGCTCGACAGAAAGGAAAGCAGAGGTCCTTAATTTAGGTTGTCTCCCTAGTAAGCACTATTCACATGCTTGTTATTTGGGTCAGAATTCAACTGTTTTCCAAAGATATTTCCAGAGCAAGTAAAATCCTTTCACCAGCTGGGAGAGGAGGGAAGAAAGGCAGACTTACGGATCAAAGGCTGCTAGCAAGAAGTTGAGCAGTAAGCTGATGGATTGCTCCACGTTGATCTGGTGAGTCGTTGGCATCCGTTTGTTGAGCTGGTAGAAGATTGTTGAAATCACAGCCTCCAGGCGGGCCACGTTCAGTTCGATGTTGGGGTCTAGGTTGTTCAGTGCATTTTCCCTCAAGGCTTCTATCACATTCCAGATGTCCACCAGGTGCACTAGGGGACAGGACAGAAAGACTCAGCCGGGACGCGTGCTCCCGAAAGCAACCGAGAAAAAACGTGACCTCCTCCCACAGGGTGAGGAGTAACACAACCACGCACAACACGCTTTGTGAATACTTAAACAAATTAATTTATTTCCCATCACTGAAATTTGGTGGAGGAATGAGCAAATAGAATTCAAACGTGTTAATAAGCAAACAATATATTGATATTACTAGTTGTAATGTGTACAACCTCAGCTCAGGAAATCATTCCTCACTGTATAAAGTACTCAAGTAGTAAGTCTATATTATACACAAATCACTGGAAGGTAAACATATGCTAATTGTCTTTTTGAACCATGCCTTTATGAATTCCCATTCAGAAGTTACTCTTAGATATTAATTTGCATAGCAGATGGGCTTTTCAGAAGATCCTACGAATACTAAGTGCTTATCACATAGTGATATTTTGAAAATTCTTTTCAGCAATTTGTATGGAAAGCAAAATATTTTACAGAAACAGAATTGCAATTGAGTCAGGGTAGACTAGCTACATTTAAACAAATAACATGTAATGAAGTGATCCCAAAATCATATCTTGTGTCTTCCAAATATATTTGCCGAATGATTTGTTAAATCTCTCTCTTTAAAGTCTCAATCTAAGCTGACTTTGATGGAAGTTGTTTTTACCTACAAGGACAGCTTAAAGGACAATTTCTGCTCACCCTTTGTATTTTACCCAAAGAGAAATCTTGCTTGCATAGCACTGTTATTGTGGCACTATGATTGGCTTGCTGCAGATTGGCATTTCCAGCAGTGGAGAACCTTGCCAAAAGTAAAAAACCCCCTACATTAATTAAAAAATTGGATTTACTTCAAAGCTGAACTCAAAGATTCATCCCTTTTTTTAATCTTAAGTATTACCTACTGTCCTACTCAAGTGTCAGTAAGAAACAAATCATGAGGTTCAGGGTGAAAATTCTCATTTTTTTTCACCAGAGAAACTACTGCATAGTTCTCATGACCCAGCATGGCAGTACATCTTATGATGTATCAAGAACCATCTGCATGTGGAAGGAGATCCATTTCTTTTCTGGATAGAGAAATGTAATTCTAATCCTCATTACATTTTCACTTGATTGGTTTGCAGGTGCTGTCTCAGACTGCAATGTAAGCTGATAGTAGATAGATAATGAAACCAGATACAGTCATTTCACTTAGTCTAGAATTCTGCCTTATGATTGGGTTTCCCTTCTTTTGCCTTGGGAAAAAAATAACCTCTTAACCCTGCCAGTGCATGTGAAAGCCCAAGGAGGAAGATACACCATACAGATGAGTGGTAACAGCAGCAGCAACTACTTTAGGGACTAGACAAGGTACTTTGTCACTACTTCTTGCTGTTCCCTAGCAAATAACTGGGAAAACCTGAAAGATGCAGTTCCATTGTGACACCTAAATATTTATTTTATCTTTGTATTAAAAGGAAACTTTTATAGGCAGCCTTGTAGGCTGACAGGTTGCCTTCAGTGTGTCATCCAGAATTAAGCTGGGTGGGTGGAGTATACAACCTCTTTGAACTCTTCCTTTTTGTTTTCTAGCTGCTGGAAGAGCAACTTCCCCGTAAAAAATCTGGCATAGGTCTCAGATCATTTTAATGCAGTCATTCAAATTCCCACTTAATCAGTTTCCACTGTCAAGTTGCCACAGATGTCACATAGACATATGGGAGGTGAATGATCTCCAGGAAGAGAGCCTGCACATAAGACCCTTTCTGGGCAGCTTCTCCATATGGTTCAGAGGCCAGACAAGGCAGAGAACGGAGGAAGTCACCAGAAAGCAGGCCATCATCTGGTCCGGATGAGAAGGGTTAATGAGCATCCCACCACTGTAAGGTAGTCAAGGAAACCCCAAGAAATACAGAGCAACATGCCAGAAGATGCAGCAACAGGCTGGACCATGTGTGTGTATTTCATGGCCTTATCAAGAGGCAGGCAGGAAGCAGAAGACAAAGTGTGATGTTTCCCTCGAGGTCTCACTGTCACTGGCCATGAGGGCTGTTCCTGGTAATTCAGACCAAGAAGATGAAGAAGATGCTTCCACCAGCAGTTTCACCACTGTATATGCGTAAACTGTCAAACCCAGGGAGGTCGTGGAGACATCTCCAGTCTCCTCTCTGGAAACATTCCAAACCCACCTGGATGTGTTTGTGTATCACCTGCTCTAGGTGAACCTGCCTTGGCAGGGAATTGTTACTGTATTGCTACATTAACAAGATAACATTGTGAGAAATTACCAGGCATAACAAATAGCAAAAAGAAGAGTAATGCCACATGCTGATGGCTCACCTTGACTTGAGACTACACTATCAAGAGAGCAATCTGAGAAACAGTGCAAACAGGGGTACTAGCACTGCTGACCAAGGCAGAAATTACTAGGGTAACCTTATTATAAATACTATATAAGGATCTAAAATCAGCAACATTAGAGCTGGTGGGAAAGGTATAAACAGGGACAGGCTGTTTATCTGTGAGTGCAAGAGCAGGGTAGCAGAAAAAAGCATGGGAGTGGAAAAGGGGAATTTAAAGGGTAACAAATCATGTCATCAGAGCTGTTGGGGTACCTTTCAGGCAGTCCCTGCACCTGATGCGTGGAGGAACTGTTTTGACCATACATATTTACTTCTGCAGTCATTGGCAACTGCGATGGTTTCCCTAGCATCCCTAAAAGGACGTTCAGGGAGGGTGAACGAGAACATCCAGACTCCCTAACACTGAGAATTTCATGCAGTAATATAACTTTAATTGCTATAGCCTAGAAGTGGAAAACTCTTGAGCAAGAGAACATGGAGTGAAAACGAGGCTGAAATGGGGGTTGGTGTCTTTATTCTTCACATGATCTAGTACTGATACTATGTAGCTGTCAGATTTTAATGTGGGGTTTTTTGCTGACTTTTTTCTCCTACTGATATTATATTTTTCATCATGCAGCCATATCCAGAGTTAGTTTTGATGATGGTCCTGGGAAGGAAAATGTCCAGAGGCCAGCAGACGTGGGACTAATAACATCAGTATACACTAAACATCTGAGAGAAAATTACTGCTTTTAGTGTTAGCTCTAACCTGAAAGCCTCATGAGCCCTCCTGATGTTCATTGGTATGCCAGAAAGGTAGGGCACAAGACTAAGAAAATGAGTTATTGGAAATTACACAGCTGTAACAGTCTCCTACCCACCATAAAATATTAGTTTCAAGGAACTGCTGTGTATTTGTATTATAAATAATTTTACTTGGGCCTTTTTTTTTTTTCCCCCGAAACACTTTGGTTCCACTTGAAGCTGAATAAACAACAATCCTACTGCACTATTTTATTTTTCATTTTATTCATTAATTTTAAATCTCTCTACAGAGGCTGGAAACCAATACTTCCTGGAGGAAGAAATGAGGATGGACATGAGCCAGGCATTTAACAAGAACTACTAATTCTGAAAGTAGCTGATGAAATGTTTAGCTCAAAATCACAAGGAGAGTTTGTTAGACTGCTGTGCAGAGGTCTGAAGTCTTTGACCTTTAGTCAAGTCAGTTGTTACAAACAAGAATTCACACACCTAAATGAAACGTAAAGAATTAGATGTCTACTCTCTGCTGGTGATCAAGACTCCCTCTCATCTAAGAGAAAGAAAAAAGCACCTTAAAGCATCTGTTGGGAGACAGGTGGGATGAACAATGCTTTGAAGCTGCTCATATTTCTTCGCCCACAAAGTCTAAAGCAACAAGTTTACATGAGACATGTAACCTCGGAGCTGGTAAAGTTAACACACCTTCCTCTTTAAACATTAGGAAAAGATGTCTTTTCTAGTCTGACTGCTACATGACATAGAATAATTCAGGTTTTATATAAAATATGAATAATAAATACTTCAATTCATATGAACAGTTACCAGATCCTGTCATAGTCACTACCTTTTACACTACACTGCTTGACCTTGTGCACATTACATCTGGGTGTAGTGCCCTACTACCTTGAATTCTATTATTTTTAAGTTTACTCACACAGTAAGCAAACTCTTACATATTATATCACGCTGCCAGATCATGTAATCAACGCTGGCAAAAGGCAGAGTAAAACACAGGACCCTCCAAGCTCCACTCATTTCTACTAATAGAAATTTATGCCTACAGCTAATGTCATACCTGTATTCTTTTCAATGTAATAACAGAATGTTAACCCTGCAAACTTTGCAAAAGCTTACATTTCTTATCTTCTCTTCTACCCATTTTTCATAATACCTGCTATGCTCATTTATTTATTTATCCATCCCTGAGACTGTTTTAATCTCACTGAAGAAGGAGTATCTCCTTACTTTGCACAACATGTAGTACGATAAAACCCAAATCTGATTTCTACATGCTACTATGATCCTAAGAAGATGAAGAGTTTGCAGTGTAACAAACCAGCATACAGATGTAGGAGAGCCTTCTATCTCCTAGAATCTGCCTTTAATTCCCTCAACAGAATAAAACTCCGCAAATTTGTTTTTAACTTCTTATTGCTGTTGCTGTTTTTGCTTCCTTGCCCACATTTCCCCCCTGAAAAGTGAATTATGCCTCAGCATGAGGAAGATGCCCTTTCTGAAGTGGATCTGTCAGTTGTTCCTCCAGTGCCAGAAGATAGGCAATAGAAGTAAAAGCTGCTTGTATCTAGCACCTGTGTGGTATAAGGCAATCAAAAATCATGCAGCCCAGCCAATCTTCATGGAGCCTTCAGAAAGGCCTTGCACTCTGCACACAGCACAGTTATGCAGGTGTAGATCTCACTAGTTTGCCTGATGCTGGGAAAAATGTGGACAATTTCCACAAGGAATTGCTAAACTACATTTCCTTTTAGATTTTCTGTTAAGTGATTTCTAAAGTCACAGTTAAGCTAAAGATCAGTGTTATTAGATCTTCTACGGTGAACACTGTCTGCTGACTTTGATAACGTTAAGTATTATTTAAACACAGTCATAGAAGGTTT